ATGCCTGCTGAGGACAAAGGACCAAGCCTGTTCTATTCAGCCAAGAAAAACATCCATTCCATCTAAATTACCAACGTGAATGGATGATAGATTTGTGCCTGCTTTGCCAACAGTGATTTCCCCTCCCTCTTTCCTCCCCTTAAGACATCCAAAACTTTGGCAGATATTTGGGCTTTCAACTTAAACCGTTCTTCAAAAATATAAAGTCACTGAAGAACAGAAACACATTTCAAAAATTCTGATGGACTCTAGATTCCTTGGTAAATAATTTTACAGAGAATATAAAAGTAGAGGCGTTTTGATTTCTTTTTTACCAAGAAAATATTAGAAGAAATGAACTGTCAAAATCTTTTAACTGAGCCTACTGTTTAAAAGTACTATTTATGTGTAACCTCCTAACATCACTGTGGTAGTACAGCAGTCCAGACTATCAAATAGTTTTATGTTCAAGCCTGCTGCTTATTATGAAAACACTTGAAGGCATTTTAATATTCTGTATTTTGAAAATTGGTTACAAATGAGTATTCTAGAGCTGTAATGTGCTTAGAAATCCCAGTTCAGTAATACAGGTTTGTCCAGCTTGTGCTTGAACGCTTTTGTTTATTGCTAATTTAATACAAAGTACAAGTTAGGTTTCTTCATTAGTTCTACAGTGCTTCATGATATGAGCCTTAAAAACCCTGATGTTATATTCTCTCAACATACACTTTTCCCCTTGACTTCACTAGGAGCTCTTTGCATGACAAGGCAGGGTGGGGGGTCAAATCACTGCCATGTTTTAAATGCTCAGTCTTGTTTGCTGAAGGAGAAAACCACAACTGGTCACTGAGTTCAAGAAATCAAAGTGAAACTGAGCTCCATGGGTAGTACCCACTTACACTAACTGTGAAGAGCTGTGAAATTGGGAGTGTAAAGAGAGCATGTAACACTGCTTGGAGTCTACTTAATTACTGAACTGGGATTTTAATTTACAGAAGCTTTATTGTGTACTGTAGAATGGGGTGGAAATAACACTCAATCACTTGCAGAATACAGGAGTAGGGTTTGCTTGTACCTTACCCCAAAGACCAGATATGCACTGAAGAAGTGTGGGTTTGGGTCCTCTTTCTTAAGGTCTTGGTTATTGCCTAAATGTGTGCCTTGAAGGTGGGAACCAAGAACATTCTATACTACAAACTGTGTGAAGGTTTGGGCTCACATATATTGAGAGGGAACGAGTTATCAAGATGAGGAAAGCAAGGCATTTGGGGTAAAAAAGGGAATCTTGTTTTTTAATTGCCTTCACTCCTCAGGAAAATAAACATTGTTTGGTTTGATGTTTGACCTCCGTATGTGGCTGGTGTGCTTCTCACCTTCTCCTACTCCTCCACAAATAAATTATGTCCTGTTGTAAAAAAAAGCTAAAGTACTAAACACAAAGGGACAATTAAGTTGCTCAGTCATGACAACCCCAAAGGGCCATAATGTTGAATCCCATTCCCACCTTCTGAGATTATTGGGTTGTCATTTAAAATCAGGACATCTGAGTATGTACATTTTTTGTGTACCAGTATTTAGGTCGGTGGGAGTTGGATCCTGAGAACCAGTGGGAGCTACACTACAGGTTTGGGTAGGGAGGATTTGTAAACTGGTGTAACTAACACCGTGGCATATCCTGTCAGGTGCTACATGTTTCCTGTGCAGTTGCGTGAAGGATGCCAGAGGGAATCATTTTGCTCTTTTATGTTTTGCAAACTTAATTTTAATAACTACCCATTTGAAGAGTAGAACAAATCTCAGTATGATGTGACGCTGAAAACGTCTTGTTTTCTGTCTTCCGATTTAATTGTTTCAGAACAATAGCTTGGAAACCACCTGTGAAATCTGTCTTCCTTTTTGCCCCTTTTCTCACACGTCTGTGTTTCTGGATGATCTGTACGGCAAAGAAGGCATGGTATTTATTTTATGAGGACTAAAAGATGAAGGCTTGCTTTTCCTTTCTAAAGATTTTTTTCTGCCCATAATTGAACATTCTTAATCTGTGTTCGTGGTTTGTTTTGCTTTATGGCATTTTAGTTTTTCATTTGCCTTGATGGAGACAACCTGCATCCTTACCTAACCAAGATTTGCCTTGGCTTTAGTGTGGATTTTGACCAAGTAAGTAGTACAAGAATTAAATTTCTTTTTGTAGATGAAAACAATAAAACTACCTAATATCTCAAGTGTGAATACAAACTAGGTAACTTTCTTCAAGTGACTGAGATGACTTTAAAAGTCACTCTAAAGAGGAGGCAGTCCTTTGTCTGTTATTTCATATCCAATTCACCCCAGAAAGAAATGACAGTCATTTCACTCCCAACTATATATGAAACTTGTGAATTTTAGGCAGTAGGAAGGAAAAGGAACGTCGTAGTGGAAAAAAGTTTGTATTAAAAAGCAGAATACCTTTGGCAAAGTTCTTCAGCTTAATGGACAGGTAATGAACTGTGCGGGCATAAATACTGGGCTTTATTCTTATGCTTTCTGTTAGATTTTCTTTTCCCCTGCTCTTTCTTTGGGAGAGAGGTTGGGGCTGCAGGTCATACAGACCTGTAGTTACTGTCTTGCTCTTGAGAGGACTTGTCTGACAGCGCTGCTTTTTTCAAAGTGTTCTATTGCCTGGCAATGATACCAGATTTGAAAATCAGGAAAATTTTATGGCATTTCCTGGTACTGCATCCCCTCGCTGGTTCTAGGTGGTTTTCAAGTGAAAGCTTTCTGCTGTGTATTTCTTGTAAAGTTTTGGTGTTCTTGATATGCAAAGTATCATAGGAAAAAGTGAAGTTGACTATATAAAATGCTACCAAATGTGTACGGGGAAGCAAAATAAGAATCTTCCTCTTGTTTTAACATCTTTTTCAGCTCTTGTAGCTCTAGGTGTTACAAGGAGCGAAAGCTCTACAAGAGGTGGGAGCCACATGGCTTTTTCATTATAGTTTATTGCAGTTTTTGAATTGTAGAGCTGAAGTTTGAGATAAGTGCTTATCCTGGTACAGAATTAAGTACACCGTAGCTCCAGGCTAAGACATTCCCATGGTGAGTGGGAACAGCTGACCTCATGCTTTGACCTCCACAGGACCTAAGTGGATTTATTCATGTGTTTAAAGTCAGCATATGCTTCTCCACATTGCTGAGCCGCAGCCTTGGTGACAAACAACTCAAGATTAACTATGTTACAAGGGTGATTACTTTAAGTTAAGGGTGAATAATATCATTTCGCTCAGGATATGCAAACTGTTACTATGCAAGGGGCTGGCATGGTGTGAAAATAGCTGGGAAGGATGGGTCTGAGGTCTTTCGAATACTATAACTCTTTAATTCCCAACAATGTATTATGCTCTGATATTCCAGGTGGGGTGAAACGTTTTTTTCTAGCTGTGATAGTCACTTTTTCTGTGGTGGGTTTGTTTGTTTGGTTTTTTTTCCTTTTTTCTGTGTGTTCACAAAACTAAGTTGGTGCAATTAAGAAGTCTATGATGTACAGATTTATTATATCACTAAAAAGCCCGAGGATTTTTTAAAGAAATAACTACTGCTGTACATACAATAAAAGCCAATTGTCTCTGTGTAGTGTGCTGTCCTACGTATCTAGTCAGCCAAGCATTACAGATGGTTCTCTATTTTCCTTCACTAATTTGACCTGTTGCTTAACGTAGTCCATTTACTTGTTTATTCAGGAGCAGAGTTC